ACTTTCTTTATGGGTAATTTGCACGCCACCTCTTACTTGCTCGGCTTGTTTGGGTACTTGATGCGCTATGCTTGTTAGGGGCTCTGTGTGTGTGTATGTGTGTGTGGGGGGGGGAGTATGTATGGAACGGGACACCGAGGGTTGCAGCCTAAAAGACGTGGAACGGCTGACCAGGAGAAGAACTCGCCCCGGGACCTTGCCGTGGTGAAGATAAGACCCGTCCTCGCATTACAGGCGGGTGAAACGTCGCGCGATCACCCGTTGAGTGGGATTCCTCCGGTTCCTGATCATGGCCGAAGAGGAAGCCCTGTCCTCGCATATGGCAGGCAGGTGAAGATGGGGTGCGACCTCCCGTTGAGCAGGGTGCTCCGGTTCCTGGTCGTGGCCGAAGAAGAAGCCCCGTCCTTGCTTTGCAGGTGGGTGAAGATATGGCGCGATCACCCGATGAGTGGGAAAGTCCTCCGGTTTCTTATCGTGGTCGAAGAAAAAACCTGTGCTTATGTCGTGCAGGTTGAAATATCCTACCGCTTGATCGGAGGTGTAACGGCGTGGATCTTCAATCCCCTATGGTTGCCTAGCGCATGGCGGATTGAGGGTAGACGAAAGCGTATATGAAAGCTTGGGAGCTAAAGCGCCGTTGCGGCTATCAAATAATTTCTATTTCATTTATACCAATATTCTATAGCTATTAATAATATCTACTTGATCGTTAAATAGGATACTAAATATATTTCAACCTTTTCGGAGGCGGCGCAAAATTAAAAGTACCTGAATATACGATCCTGCCAATAACGATCTGATTGCGGTATGGCAAACTTGGTAATTAATAATTCGTAAGAAAACATATTCGAAACGTTATAGATACGGCAGAAAACATTTGTAATTGTAACGATTGTATCAGAAGTTGGTAGCACTTCTGATGTATAGTACACCGATGACAAGATGTCCCATGAGACAAATGCAAATGCGTGCTTCTCATGGGACATCTTGTCATCGGTGCACAGTACATGCTGTAAAGGGGAATCACACACGCTATTAAAAATCGTCCTAGACCTAGTGAGCGGCGCGAGTTAAGTGCGGTCACTCGTGAACTGCAGTATAGTGAATGTACATCAGGAGTGCTGCCAATTTCTGATACAATCGTTACAATTACAAATGTCTTCAGCCGGACCTATAACGTTCCGCCTTTTTTTTTACGACTTATTAATTACCAGGTTTGCCATACTGCAGTGAAATCGTTATTAGCAGCATCGTATATTCGGGTATTTTTAATTTTGTGCCGCCTCCGAAAACTTTGAAATGTATTTGGTATCCTATTTAAGGATTAAGTAGATATTATTAATAGCTATGGAACATTGGTATAAATGAAATAGAAATTATTTTATACTTTTTAGTGCATTTCGAAATCGGATTTGTTTTTTGTTAAAAATTATTTTATCCTCTATACACTATATATATCATGCCCCCACTTATGTGAGGGGTTTCCCATCTATGTCGTGTTTCGTGTTCAATTTGTGATTTTCCTTTCTAACGCGTAATACTTCATGCCTATCATATTTCTTTGTATATCGAAACTTTTGACTTTATGCTAAATATAAGCGCGGTCATTTTTCTGAAAGCACTTACTTGTGTTTTTTACTTTACTGAACTATGTTTGGTTGTGCATGGTAACCAGTGATTTTTGGCGTCCCTTCGCGTGTATTCTATACAATTTTGTCGAACCTCATTGTAGGGTTATGTTTATCTATTATTCTTATGACTGAGTTATTGTTTTTACAGGATATGTGGTTCATTTTCTGAACAGCCGTGCCCTCCTCCCATAGACGAGGAGCTTTACGGATCTCTACTTGTTTACTTGTTCTTACATTTCCTCGACCACGTTTCCACGTTATATTTTGGTAAGTTATACTATTCCTACTTAATCCATCTTTACTTACTCCCCCTTTTCTATTTTTTGTTTAAACTGCTGTTATATATAGTTAGCTAATTGTTTTAAATAGCTACACACATAAATAACTAGATAAATAAATAAATAAATAAATAGACAAATAAATACGCGAACAAATAATACTGAAGCTATTCTTCTTACTGCGCAATCTCCGGGCACTCAGTCCTCCCGGGACCATTGTGCCCGAGCCCCTATGGGCAGTACTAAAATTGAGGTATATTGTGTAGGCCGGCCTCTTTGGCAAAGCCCAGAAGCCTTCCCACCTTAATGTCCTCCACACGTGCGTCGTCAAGGACGGAAGCCCCAAAACTGGATCGCCTAAGGGCCTCCAGTCCTTTACAACGCCATATCAGGTGGAGAGGAGTCTCATCCTCCTCTCCACATCTCGGTCACCCTGGTTCGCTGCCGGTTCCTAGGTGCATCAAGTGTTTCCTCGTGTACCAGTGTCCAGTAAAGAGCCCCACGAGTAAACGCAGTTGGTTTCTGTCAAAGCAGCTCACTGTCCTGCCTAGCCGTGACGATGGCCCTTTGAACATGGCCTTAGTGTGTCTCATACCTTGAGTACTGTTCCAGGTCAGGTGGGTTTGGGTATTCGCCCACTCCCTCACCATCTCCTTAACCGTCCCCCTGTCGACACCTATGCGGTATGCTGTGTCTGTGCCTTCTGGCTCTTTCCCTTCCCAGCATATTCGACTTCTCGTTTCCCGGGATACCTGCATGTCCAAGTACCCAGATTAAGTTGACGCGGTTGTTGTTATTACCCAACCGTTCCAACATGTCCGTGCAGTCTTGTACCAGCCTGGATCGCACTATCGTAGCACGTAGGGATTCAAGCGCAGCCTTACTGTCACTACAGATGTAGATGTGTTTGTCCCTATAGTCCCGTTCCAAGCACAGCATGGCGCAGGCCCATATGGCAAACACTTCCGCCTGAAGGATGGATATGTGTGGGTCCAGGGACATTGCTATTTCCGCCCTGGGCCTCTCCCCCCAGATTCCTGCTCCGGTACCCGACTTGGTTTTAGAGCCGTCTGTATACCAGATCAGCTCTTCCGGAGTAAGGAGTTCCTCCCGGTTAGCTTCCCACGCTTCTTTGCATGGGATACTTACCCGGAAGCTGTTATTAAAGTGGTATGTCGGATCACACGCGTCTTCCCCTAGAGTTCGGGGCCCTCCTGGTTCCCTGAATTCCCTAAGGATTGACGCATGGCCCGTTGACGCCATCTTCCATTTGCCTGCTAGGAATAGTTTTACGGCTGGGCTCCTGGCCCCTGCTTCTACCATGATATGTGGTGGTGCCAGGTGCATGATTGCCCCCATAGCCATTGTCGGTGTGGTGCGGAAGGCCCCAGTCATCCCGAGCAATGCTAGGCGGTGGATCTTTTCCAGGTGCCTCCTGTTGCATTGTTTCCTCATAGAGGTCCACCATACAACGGAGGCATATGTAAGTTGGGGTACCAAGATTGCGGTGTATATCCACCTGACCATTCTTGGTTTTAGTCCCCACGTTGTTCCAAACATCCTCCTGCAGGCCCAGTAGGTTGCGATTGCCTTTTGTGCCTGCTTTTCGATGTGGAGTTTCCAGTTTAGCTTCATATCTAGGGTGACCCCTAGATATTTCGCTGAGGTGGATAGACTAATCTCCACCCCGAACAGAGAGGGGGCCTTGAATTCAAAGCACCTTTTTCTCGAGAACAGTACCATCTCCGTCTTGTTAGGATTTACCATGAGTTTGTGGGATAGGCACCATTTTTGCACGAGTGTGAGTACTTCTTGCAGTCTTCTCGCTATATTGTGCGGGTGTCTGCTTCTGACCGATATACAGATGTCATCCGCATACCCTATCACCAGAAAACCTTCCTCGCTGAGCCTGCGGAGTAGCCCGTCTACCACAAGGGTTCACAGCAGGGGAGACAGGACTCCCCCCTGCGGGCATCCCCTTGCAATGCGTGCTCTCAACGAAGACCCATCAGAGGGGGTTATTATAGTCCTGGTACGTAACATGTTGTCGATCCAGGTGACCAGACTATCGTTAGTCTCTAAGCATCTTGCTGCTTCATTCATCACATCAAAGGATGTGCTGTCGAATGCCCCTTCTATGTCTATGAAGATACTCACGACGGACTCCCCCTGGGATAGGGCCTCTTCCACCTCCCTTACAAGGTGGTGGAGTGCCGTTTCCACGGATTTGCCCGACTGGTACGCATGTTGGGAGGCGTGTATTGGCCTTTCTGCCAGTGCATGCTCCCTGATGTGCCTATCAACCAGCCTTTCTAAAGTTTTTAGTAGAAAGGATGTGAGGCTGATTGGCTTGAAGGATTTCGCCGTATCGTAGCCACATCTGCCTGGCCAGAAAGACCACCCTGGCTATTCTCCACTGATACGGTACGTACCCCAGTGCTAGGCATGCTCTGTATATCTTACATAGCGGCCTCAACAGATCCTCTCCGGCTTCCTGAAGAAGAGCCGAGAAGATCCCGTCGACCCCCGGGCTTTTGTACCTACTAAATGAGTTTATAGCCCATCTTAGTCTGTCTATCGTGACCACCTTGGAGGCCAGTTCCCAGTCTCGTGCGCTGTTCCTGAGAGGTGCCTGTTCCTCCTGGAACAGTTCCTCCGGTACCAGTTGCGAGCCTGGGAAGTGCGTCTCCACAAGGTGCCTCAGCGTCTGCAGGGAGTCAGCTGTGACTCCTCCATTGGGAAGTTTTAGACCTTCCGGTTTTTGTGGAGGCCCGGATACAAATACCTTCCGAAGCCTAGCTACCAACGGCAGGGCCTCGGTTTCTTGGCAGAAGTTTTTCCAGGTCCTCCTTTTAGATACTCTCATCGTTTTCTTGTAGGCCTTCTGGGCCTCTTTATACGTGTCCCAGGCTTCTGCGGTGTTTGCCTTCATCGCCTTGTTCAGAAGCTTCCGGGCCCTGTCTCTGTGCTTATTCAATTCATTGTTCCACCAGGGAACCCTTCTGCTTTCTCTCCTTTGCTTTAACGGGCATGACCTTTCGTAGGAGCCGATGATCGAGGTCTGCAGTCTTGCGACCTCCATCTCGATCCCCTACGTGGTCCTCGGTCTCACGCGGCGCCCCCTGAGCTCTCCCTCTAGGCTCTCACGGTATTGAGGCCAGCAGGTGGCCCTGGGGTTCCTGTATGTTTCCGAGGCCCTTAGGTCTGCATCCGTCTTTAACTTGAAAGTGATTAGCCTGTGGTCAGAGAGCGTTATCTCATCTTCCACACGCCAATCCTGTACGGAGCCCAGCGTGATATCAAGTACCTCCTGTCGCCGGGAGGTGACAAACGTTGGATCGGAGCCTCTGTTTAGAATCTCCAGGTTCGTGGTTGCGAGGTCTTCTAATAACGCCTCGCCTCTTTTGTTTATATCGCTGCTGCCCCAGACGATATGGTGCGCATTTGCGTCGCACCCGATCACTAGTTGCAGCCCTTTGACCTTGCAGTAGAGACTCCACCAGCTCTCTGAGTTCCCTCGTGGGCGGGGTCCCTCAGAGTCGTGGGGCAGGTAGGTCGAGCAAACCACCAGGTTCGCCCCTCTACCCCCCACCACGGCTGGGAATAAGACTGCCGCTTGGTCTCTTGTGCAGAATTCTGCCAGTTTCGTTGCCCCGAGCCCTCTTTTCGTGTAGACGCATGCCCTGGATCCAGTCTCCAGGTCTTCATGGAAGATGGAGCCTTGTTTCAGATCTAACCCCCCTATTTGCCCTTGGATTAGCCATGGTTCTTGTATCAGGGCTATATCTGTATATTTGTGTATGTCTGTGTGCTGCGCCGCAAGTCGCCAACGGGGCAAGTCCGTGGCCGCTTTGCAGTTCTGGAAGTTTATCTGCGAGATGAAAAGGTACCCTCCAGTCATGGGAACTGCAGTGTCGTCTCTCGTATGTTCCGCGCCTGCGCCTAGTGTGTCCTGTGATCGGCTCATCTTTTGGCTCCGCGCTTATATTGAGGGGCACCCGTGGCACTCCCTCTTCCTCTGTCCTCCCGGAGGCCCGTAGTGATGGTCCTTTGGACCCCACTCCGGGTCTCCGACAGACCCACCTTACCCGTCGCGTGGGCTTTCAGAGGCCTGCCCCTTGGTCCCTTCCCGGAGGGCCCTTGGCCGCCTCTTCCTATCTGTGAGGCCCTCGATGCCTCCGGTCCCGGGATTTTGGTCCCCGTCGTTGAGACCGGGCCCTTCATCCCTTTCGCCACCACAGCGGTCTTTGCGGCCGTCTCCATGGTCTCGGAGGGCACTCTAGATCCCGAGGCCACCGTCACGGGAGGGGCGACCTTGGTGCCCGTAGCCGCGGATGGAACCTCCATGTCTCGGCCCCGCAGTCTCCCCCACTCGCCGCGGCCTCCGCGGTCTTTAACTTACTCTCCTTAACTGGGTTCTCTTTTGCCGATGGTTCCCGCGGCCCCCGTCGGTCCTCGCACGGGGCTCCCTAAAGAGCACCCTGCCCAGCCCAACGTGTGCCACGTAGCCCCATCTTTTGAGGGCCTGGAGGGACTCACCCTCCACTCCAACGACCAGTTGTACCGACCGCTTTTCCTCCTTCCGGTCCCACACCCTCCAGTGTTGGGTGTTGAGACCAGGGTTTCGTTTTCTGAGACGGTTCAAGTTTAGGACCCGTCTCCGTAGGTGGTCCAGGGATGACCGTGATGAGTTTATGAAGCCTAGGAAGGCACTCCCTCTCCAATAATTGGAAAGCGGCGCCTTCCCAAGGCCTCACCCTGCCCACCGTACTCCTCAGCCATTCCCTGGCCTTGTCGTCCGAACAGGTGACCCATATGATCCCCTGTTCATGCTTATTTCCCTTGAAGCGAGGGACCTCTTTACCGGCTGGTATCGCGTCCAGTTCCGCTTCGAGGGCTTTCAGCACCAAATCCCCCTGCTCCGTCGTCAGGGTGGCCTCGGGGTAGCCTGAGGGTGCGATTGCCACCTTCCTGCCGGTCACGAGCGCCTCCCTGAAACTGGACGGGGCAGGGAAGATTTTACCCCTTTTTGCCTGGTGGTCCGTCGGGGAGCCGTCCGCCGGTCGGGCCCTTTTGAGGCCCGCGGCTCCTTTTCCCCTTGCTGCACCACCAGCTTGCCCCGGTTTCGCGACGTGCCCACGATTTGGGCCCGTCCCGTCCCCCGATGCTGGATCCAAGGAGGTGGTCGCTCCGCGCGGTGCCTCCAAGGAGGTCCTTCGAGCCCGCTTCTTGGCTGCCTCGCAGCGGCGCGATCCTTTCCTCTTCTCCGATGAGGCAGGCGAGGGCACCGCATCACTGTCTGCGCCCTCGTCTGTCCCTTTCTTTGGGCCATCCGTCAGCGAGAGCCCATCCTCAGTCGCCGCAGCGAGTGCTGCGTCGTCCGAGGCCGTTCCCTCCACCCTGACATCTGAGTTCCCCGTGGCGGGAGTTTCCTTTTCCGACCCTGAGAGCTCCTCCTCCATGACGAGAGGTCCCTCTTTTGAGAGCTCCTCCCCCGTGGTAAGGGGTTCCTCTTGCGAGAGCTCCCCCCCCTTGTGCATGCCTACGGCATCTTTGTTTATATTAGTGTTTTTGTTTGTGTGTGTTTCCATATGTATCCCACGAGTGAACAGGAAATGGTGGTCCACCCCCGCAGAGCCTGCTTACGGGGGTAAGGCTAAAATATAATGTAGGGGTCGCCTGATACCCCAAGGGCATCGTTTGACACCATTACCCCGGTGCCATCCAGCTCTCGACACGATAGCTTCCACGTTAGCTTGAGGAGCAGGTCCGCGACGGGGCCTTAGGTCCCCACCAAAGGGTTTTACTCCTTGGAGGTTCCTTATAGCTCCCGTTGGCCGGTGCCCTCCGCAGACAGGCCTTGTTCCGTAGCCCGGTCACCCGTGGGCGAATCGTTCCGCAGTTCAAGGGGTCCGCTTCAAGCCCCGGTCGTCCTCCTATCCGCCACCTGGAGACGCGCTCGGTTGGGGCTCAGCCTGGTGCGACCGAGGTTGACCTGGTCCCCCTCGCCCCTTGCGGGGGTCGGGCAACTCCGAGACTGAAGCTATTAAATACATAAAAACATGAATGCATAACTGTGAAATGAATAGCCAGTAAATGACTTCCCTCTTTACCGACGTATATTCCTTTATTTTTAGCCTTATAGTGCCTATATTGGCCTATCTATTTAACAAGGGTTATCGACCAACCTGAACGCAACGACTACTTTCAGGTAAGAGGTTCGTTGTGTATTTTCATGGTATTTTTATTCTTATATATTTCCTTTATCCTTTGCTTCTTTTCTGTGTGTCCTGATGAAGGGACAGGAGACTCGACTTTTACTCCTCCTTGTCTCTCTTCTCCTTTTTTTTCCTTCTCTTTTTTTCCCCATTTTGTCCTATCTTATATATATATATATTTTTTTTTTCCTTTTATTTTTAGGTGATCCCATTGGACCTCGACCTTATTTACTGCACTCTGTTATGCTACGCCATTGACTTGTTTGTTTCTTTGCCTTGTTTCTCTACTTTTTATAAAGTTTCCATTAATCCTTTCAAGCCCTGCCTGTTTCCATGCGAGCTCTCGTTTGCTTCTCCTTTCTTATCTTCCTTCTATGTATCTTCTCAAATTTCTGTTTTTCCTTAAGGCATTTTACTATTAATTTCCTCACTGGGATGTGTAAATCTTTATCCTTCAATAATTTAGCCATATTTCCTTTGTTCCACCTCTCTGGGTAGATATCGTTTTCTAGTTTCCTTCTATTTTCATTTCATTTCGTACAATCGAATAGCGTATGTGCCGTATCGTCGTTTTCTTCATCGCAGAACCAGCACTTTGCATCTTCTTCTTTCCCAATCTTTTTTAAGAAGGTACTAAAACAACCATGTCCTGTCAGAGCCTGAGTTGTGTGGAAATCTAGCGGTGGGGTATCTCCCGCTTTCCATTCTCGAACATTTGGTATTATGTCGTACACCCACCTTCCTTTTGTGCATACTTCCCATTCTTCCTGCCATTCTCTCATTGTCCTCTCATGTTCTTCTGTTTTGATGTTTTTGATTATTTCTTTCCTATTTTGTTCCTCCGGGCCTATTATCTCTTTGCTGTATCTATCAAACAGTCGGGCCCTTTCTCTGACCAGGTAGTCCCAAGGTGGGAAACCCGTCAGTACACATAGCACTTCTGTGGAAACCATCCTATATGCCCTACCTATTCTTCCTAAGGGGATTTTTTGAATGTCTCTTAGTGTTTTTCTATTCATCTTATACCGTAGTGCCCTTTCCCATATTGGTGCAGCATACATTACCGATTCACCACTCTGTGATACAGTATCCTTGCGCTGGTTCCCGCCCCTTTTGTGTTCGCCTGGAGCGCGTATAAGTGTATGGAACATTTTAACGCCTTTTCCGCCACTTCCTTTAGGTGTTCTTTGAACGTTTGACTCATTCCAAATGTTATCCCTAAATATTTGGCCACCTTACAGACCTCCATGTTACTTCCCTTTATACTCACTGGGATTCCTCTCATGCATGTTTTGCCCGTGGGAAGGATTGACATCGATTTGTGTGGGGCCAATTCCAATCCTTCTTTCGCGAACCATGGTATTAGGTCATTCATAACTCGTCCACCTAAAGTTTCCAGTTTTTCAAGATCTTTTTCGATAATTATGATATTGATGTCATCAACAAATGCTGTTAGGTAAACGTTCCTTCTTCTGTGTACCCTCAGAAGTCCGTCATAAACCACATTCCACATGAACGGACCTATGAGCGAACCCTGTGGTACACCTCCGAACACCTTCACCCTTTTTTGTCTGTCCGATGCGTTTATGATCAACCATCTATCTGTTAGATATTGTTTTACCAGGTTCACTATTTTCGACGGGAACTGTCTCCTCTTTAATTCTCTCAATATACTACTCCATCTAAGGGAATTGAACGCGTTTCTAACATCGAGCAACATCATGAGGCAGTGCTTTCTCCCTTTCTTTGCTTTATCCCAAAGGCTCATTACATTCTGCATGGCATGGACTGTACTTCGCCCTTTCCTAAACCCGTACTGATCCGACGAGAGTTCGTTTTTTTGCAGTTCCTTATTCAATTTGTTTTTCATTATATGTTCAAAGATTTTTGCCATATTCGATGCAATACATAGTGGCCTGTAGTCCGAGGGATTTATTTTTCCTGCATTGTCACTATTATTCGTCGCCATTTTACCCTTCGGTAGTAGTACTAGTCGCGTCTCCTTCTTGTTTTGATGCTCCTATTCCGATTTCCCTGGCTACTAACGCTGGGACACCGTCTGGTCCCGGCGCTTTCCTGGTCATTATTTTTTACTTGCATCTAATACCTCTGTAATTTCGTCATTGCTATCATGTAGACCACCACCACAGTTGTCCTCAACCCCCGTTACGCCGTAACTATCTTCTTCTGTACACATTTCCCCTATCGGCGGTTCCATGATAAAAAGCCCCCTGGTTATTTCCATAGTCTGTTCTACAGTAAAACCTGGATAAATGTAACCAAGGTTGGGACCCAGTGGTTGCATTTATCCAAGCGAGGTATCGAATCTCGAGTTACACGCGACGACCAGCCAAGCGTGAACGTAGAAAGGGACAGACAGTGGCGGAAAGAGAGAGGTCCGATGATGAAAGGAAAGAGCCGAAACGTATCGGTGTGACTAATACTAGTTCAACTATAAAACTTTTTTATTTTCGACTTTTTTTTATTGAAACTTTTATTAACGCATTGGTGAAATTTTTCTGATTAAAATGGTACCAAATACGATATAGTTTCAATTATAATTACTTGCTAAAATTGATGTTAAAGGTTGGCGAAAAGCAACAGAGATCGAAATCAAAACCAGTCCCGGTGTCGGCTCTGGTTTCAAAGGTTTCATTTATCCAGGCAAGGTGGCGATTCTGGACATTTAACGTTGCATTTATCCAAGCGAGGTGTCGATTCTGCGTCCGTACACATGTTTTGTATTCAGCCGACATGTCGATCATATCTTTTGTATTCAGCCGACATGTCGATTCTGCGTCCGTACACATCATTTATATTAAGTCGTGGTGTCAATTCTATGTTGTTTAGTCTATTACTATTGTTTATAGATATAATTCAAACTATATCGTGTTTGGTGTCATTTTAATCAGAAAAATCTCACAAATGCGTTAGTAAACGTTTCATTAAGAAAAAGTTAAAAATAAAAAAGTTTTATCGTTCAATTAGTATTAGTCACACCGATATTACGGTCGGATCATATTACACGGTTTCCTCGTCGAGCGGCTCGGTTCGCCTAGGGGGATCCCCCCAAGTGGAGGGGATAGCGATGTTGCACTTATCCAAACATTCTTTCGTTGCATTTATGCACGTTTTACTGTATATCTAAAACTACAGAAGGAGGGCTCGGCCTCAGCTGTTTCATTATGGCCTTGTATGGCCTCCTCCATATATCCTCGTCAACTGTTTTAATTAGCTCCTTCCACACTCCCTTTTTAGCCTTTCTAATTTCTTTATTCAGCACTTTTTTGGCTAATTTGTAACGTTACTCCGCCCTTCTTCCTCGTTTTCTCTATTTCTTTTCCTGAATCGAGTGACTATCCTTCTTAATCTATTCGCCTCTCTTCTCAGGCCTGCTATTTCTTCGCTCCACCAATAAACCGGCTTTTTCCCCTTTAACTTTTTGCTTTTCCTGCAGCTATCACCCAAATCAGTAATATCTTTAATAAAGCCTTTAATATCCTCTATATTATCATAAGATTTGTCCCTAATCTCCTTGTCATTTCCGTATTTTTCTAAAAATTTATTTATCAGTTTCTTCGCATCTATGTCTTTAGTTAACAAGTTCTCTTTTTCTTTTTCAGGTCCAGGCCCATCTTCCGCTAGCCTAACACTATAAAGGAGATATGAATGGTCCGAACCTGAGTAGTCTGTAAGAATCTACTGTTAATTACCCTATCCGTAAGATTTGGGCTAGTGATAATTATATCCACTTTAGAACCCTTGCCCCTATTACATGTCACCCCTTCCAACGTTTTTATTGGGGTCATGCCCAGACTAACCATTAGCTCTACCATCTTTTTCCCTCTCTTGTTCCAGACTCTATCTCCCCATAAGGGGGATCTGCCGTTCAAGTCGCCTGCCAATAGGACACCCGCCCAACCTCTGCATCGGATCACTTCTTTTATTTCTTCTAAACTGTTATCTGCTTCCCTTTCATCTATATTGGGAGAGATGTAACTACTGATAATTAAAAAGTCATTATAATTTATTGCTATCATGCCTTTTCTTTGTTTAAACACATTTATCTTGCTAGCTTTCCCTACACCTGTCATGGTAACCCATATTGCAGAATCCCCTTTCTCGTCGCTATACCAGTAGTTCATATTTTTATTTTGTTCGGAAATAATAACCACGTCCGCTTTTTTATCCTCTACCGTCTTACTTAGTAGGTCTTGTGCTGCCCTACACCTGTTTAGATTTATTTGTAGTATATTGATTATGAATTTTGTTTCCGAATTTTATCCTCGCGAACCACCCCTTTGTATATATCGCACCTGATAGATCCGGCTACATGCATTATCGCAGTACCTTCCAAACCTTTCTCCGCACACAGTCTACACCTTGACTTATCGGCTTTGCACTCCGACATTATGTGCCCTAATTCTCCACATCTCCTGCATAACTTTGCATCATCCTGTATAGCTGCACGATGTGCAGCTATATGTCCTATATTATGGCATTTAAAACATCTCACTATTTCTGGCAGTCGCCTAATCCTACAGTTTACCCAACCTATTTTTACTCTTTCGTCCTTTATTTTCGCTAGAAGGTCCGTAGGCCCTTCAACTATTGCTACTTGAGTTCCCATATAGGCCCTTCTCATTGACCTACCACTCAATTCTTCCCTGTTTATGTTTGTTTCTGCTGCCATTGCTCCAGGACTTCCTCCATGTCCGCCGCTGGATCTATATCCAATATTTCTATCTTTGTCCTTGGTACTAGGCGTCTCATCTTTATATCCGCGCCCATCATTGTCTTTAGCCTGTCGTGAAAGATCTGGCTGTCAGATTTAGCATTAAACTCTACTAATAGATCCCCAGCTCTGGTTCGTCTAATCCTTTTTACTCCCTCAACCTCTTGTCCCATCTTTTGCTTCAAGGTCTTCGTCACCTCCGCAAATGTTTTCCCTTCGTCTATTTTTATTGTTACCGCCTCTCCCCTGTCCATCGGTATCTGCGTTCCTTTTTTACTCCTAGTTATCCTCTCTGTTATCCTCTCTGTTATCCTCTCTGTTATCCTCTCTTGTGTTCTCTTTTCTCTCTTTTTTCTCATTTTTTTCCTCTTTGTCTTCACCAACTTCCAGTCTGATTCCGATGATCCTCCTTCATTCGCATTGCGGATTATCTGCACACTTCTCACCTTAGGTAATTGCCTATTATCTCCTATTATCCTTTTTTGTTTTTTTCATTAAGTTTTCAGTGTCAAATGGTGACATAATCTTCCTCTTATTATTGCTTCTCATTTCCTCGTCTTCCTTTTCTGTGTAATTACCTTTATCCTTCCTGGATCTTTCTATGAGTTCCTCCTGCATTGCTATACTCATCCTATCTTTTTCATCGTATGCTCGTCTCTCCCTTTTGTATATTTCTGCTGCGGTTACAGCCATCTCCCTTGCTTTAATTAATTCTGTTCCTATCTTTAAGCTAGCATTTTTTGCTGTAGGGTTTGCGTTTTTCACCCTACATAAGTACGAACTTACAATTTCGTTCGATGCTTCCAGCATCCCTAATATCCCTTGCCATTGTTGCTAGTGTGAGGCCTATAGCCCCCATTTCCGCATTACATTCAAGATTTATGCTATCCTCCTTCAATATTGTCTCAGTTAGTTCCTTTACATTCTCTACCTGCTGCTCATTAGCATCAGTGAATACGCTCTCGTCCTCATCTCCCGTGAGATCAATATCTATGTCCGTTACCGGATTATCTCCACTCGCAATACTTAGACTGCCTGACAGGGTCCTACTAGTTCTTGTAGATACGGACAATTCCTTAAGTGTCTTATCTTTCACTAGTGTCTTCGTGACTTCATTGGCAAATCCTTTCTTTGTCAACGTTTGTTCCCCAAGAATTATTTTGTTAATTTCTTCTTTCCTCTGTTGTACATTTGAGCCCTTATTCGTGATCCGTTTCG